CACAACAAGGAAGAATCAAAGTGGATCTTGACAAGGTGGTAGAGTCGAACCATGCTACGATCTCATTTGTCTTCTCTAATTCGGCACCTTCGCCCTCACTTCAACCACTAGGGGCATTCTCTGAAACCCATCAACTCAAGCCATATGAGTGTGTTGGGATGTTAAGTCAAAGTAGTGTCGAATCATCCAATGACGATAATGAAGGATGGACATTGGTCACTCGAAGGGAGTTACATAAGAAGAATGCATCTTCGCCAATAACTGCTCAATCAAAAAGATGTGTAAACAAAAGAAGTTCTCCTCAACCACCTAAAAGGCATAGAGGAAATAAATTGTCAAATATGAACAAAGTGGTTCCAAAAGATGAACTCTTGAAACAAAGGTCAACTAGCCCCATCATGCTAAATGACTTTTTCCCCAAAGGATTCTTCAAGAATAATGTGTCGAGCACCTCTCGTAGTGAAAAACATAAGGAGGACACTTCTCACTTCTCTTGACACAAATTCAATCAAAATGCTCCTTCGCCTGCACAGGCTGAAACTGCACAAGGCACCAAACGCTCCTTCGTTCGCCTGCACGAGCCTAAACTGAACAAGGCACCAAACGCTCCTTTGCCTGCACGAGCTGAAACTGCACAAGGCACCAAACACTCAAATTTGTATACACTTCAATCCTGCGACAAATGAGACAAAAACACGTGTACAAAATAATATTTGTATTAATGAAATTTAGGGTTACAATCTCTATATTAAATCCTCTGATTCGATCTCCAAAGTGTTTAAAGAGAATTTGTGTTTGATACAAGGGTCACAGAGACTTGATCTTAATCAAACGGGTAATACAAGGCTTGTTTGGTGTTTGGATTTTTCTAGGGTGGAGGAACTGGCACGTATTTGTTGTGCTTTGTGGCTCTTTCAAAGTGAGGTGAAGAATGCAGAGAGTTTTCTGTTTCTTCTGATTACTTGGTCTGTCTAAGCTTTTTTCTCCAAGGTTTTGAGGCCTCCTATTTATAGGCTCCTGCAAGATGCTTGACCTAAATAGTTTTCCTTTTTTAGGACCTTGCTTTGTGGGATTTTGATTTGATTTAAAATCAATTCCAATAATTTGGCAATTTAACCAAATTATCCTTGATTGATTGACTTAATAAATATTTGATTTAAATCAAAGTCAATCACAGAAGATTCTTCCCTTAATTTTGTCTTCACTTTGAACCGTTTGATGCACTCCGTCGGATGTCGACACGTGTCACTTTGACAACTAATCCGATTTTGATGAGTCGTACACCACATGGGCGGATTATGGGAGCCCACAATTTAATCCACCAAACCCTAATTATTTCTTATTTGGTGGAATTTAATTCACCAAAAATTCAATGTCTACAGTGCTAACTCAAAAGTACCCTAAATTTTTAGAAAGTTCTAAATTGAACACATGTGTAATTAAGAATTCCATAGGAGAAAATAGCTTGGAAAAGAACTCTGTTTGTTGAAGTAAACAAATGTCCTGTTTTCTTATTAATTTTTCTTCATCAATCCTCTTTGGCTTACATGGTGTACTTTTTGTGTTGTTGATTTTTCTTCTTTGGCTCAAGACTTGGAAGCGTGACTACCATTCAAGAGTGGCTGCCCAGCCTGCATTGGTCAACATCAGCCATCAATCGTCTTCTAGTTTGTTTTCCAACAATATTTTGATAGTTTGTGGATTTTACATGATGTCTTTTCCCAGCCAAGTGAAATCTAAGGGAAGAACATATTGTTCGGTATCATCAACAGAGAACTTGATTAAAAGGCAGAAAATCCATAGAAAGGCCCCAACAAGCTGGGCTTTGTACTTTGTTTATCCTCACAAAAACAAAATTGCAATGGCCCAATTGGCCCAATTTAGTAAATAAGTTGATTCCAGCAAAGAGGAAAAATTGGTAAAGATCAAATAAATGTTTTATTTTACCAATGGGGTTCTTGGTTAGATTGATTCAGGCCTTTGGTGCGCTCCTAAGAGCAGTTCCAGCAACAAGGGCTGGGGGGGTTTAGGCCCAAAAACCGTTTCCAGCAGTAAGGGCTGGCAAGGGCAGTTGCTGAGGGCCACGAAACCAGGCCAGCCCTCAGGCAAGATGAGCCCAAGTTCAAGACCGGGTTTTCTGACGTCAGTGATAACGTCAGCAACAAAAAAAATTTATAAAAAATGGAAAAAAATTCTTTTAAAAATACAAAAAATTTCAGATTTTTGTTAAATAAATACTTAGTCATAGTTTTCACTTCCCACACCAAAACTCTATACAAATTTCTCTCCTCATATCTCATGTGAATAGTTGTTGCCATGGCAATGGATGGAAACACCACAATCCTTTTGCAATGGCAGCCACTATTCACATGAATAGTAGCTACCCCAGGCCCCCTCTTGCCATAGCAAAAGGCGAACTGGTAAAAGTGCTCTAAGTAATTTTGGGTTTAAATCTCCATGGTACTCGTGCCTCTCATGACTCTCTGAGTAGAACTCGAAAGCCTTTTAAAATAATTAAAATTCTAAAAGTCAAAAATTGGCTAAAAATCTTTAACATGTCCAAAGTTCCCTGAAGAATTGACCATATTTTCAATTGGAAACACTTGCTGGAGATAAAATTATTTTACTTGTCACAATGGTGGTCTTCCGTACTGTATTGTGCTTAATTGGACAAACTTATCATGTCCTTCAATGTAGATATTCAGTCATTTTCTCGAGTCTTTTGGCCATTTGCTAAACCCTATCAAATTAATTGACTTTTTCAAGCCATTTGTGGACAAGTGCATTTAGCAATTAACAAAATCTAAAATTCTTTTATATTGAGTGCTATAATGGTTTTTCTAGAATTTTTTTAAAAAAAAATGTCCCTAGAATCATTCAACAAAAAATAAAATAAAAACTCCCACCAAATATTTCCATGGGATGTCTCCATGGGATCAAAATAAGTTATAATTTTTTTTAAGCATCTTTCCTATTGAGAGGGGCGATAGTATATTAGACTCACACACACTACACGGATGCTAAGACTTGAACTCAGGACATTTCTTGGAGTGAACAATTGCTTCAAACCACTACACTAGTGAGTCCTATGAGAAGTTATAATTTTTTATTCAATGAATTAATATTATTTTTATTCTAAGAAGCAGCATTACTAGTTGATGTGATCAAAAATCCAATTTATAATTATTGGTGTTGCTAAGCTCAATGACACTGTTACTCAATATCTGAAAATATATTACATTGAATGCACTTGGACAGTTTGATGACCAAATTAGCATATAATTGCAATCTATAGCAAACCCTTGCCTGATTATGGCGACATCCTTGATTCATAACTTTATTAATTTCCAGTAGAATTGCTCCTATAGATATATACAATACAATTAACTTCTTTTTTTTTTTTTCATTAGTTAGGGTGGGGAGGGGAGGGAGTTTTTCTACAATAGTGATGTATGTATATGTATGAAGAACATGAATTACTATAATATGCACTTCTTTTGTAATTAAAACAAGATTCATATGTATCAAATTGTGATTTACGAAAAATAAGAAATCGACAATTATATCAACACAATATCAATAATTGTATAATCAAGGTATTGATAGTATCAATAATATAGGTAACATATCGATGTTGATATACATCTTGCTCTAACTACAGGGAAACATCATCTCTTATCACTGGCCCTGACTTACTTGTGTGTATATATAGATAATATATATTATATATTCTCTTTATTGGGATATACATATTCTTGATGTAAGACCCAGAGAAAAACATCCCTTTGATGACCATATATGTTGAACATGGACTGTTTTTATGGTACGATTAGCTCCACGGATGAATGAGGACGAAATTTGGTCCCAAGGTGATTGCATCATCCATCAACAGGCTTTGATGTAATATGTTGTTACCATTACTTGATTTTTAAATTAAAATGATGGAACGAATTATGATCTGGAAAATTAATTTTCAATTCACCCAAGTGATTACATTTCTCTTGCTGTGTATGTGGATTAAGTTAGATGGTCGAAGGCATTACATCTGTTCCTTTACACTCGAGTTCGATCTCCTTCTTGTATATTAGAGTAATTTAATTAGAATTATTGCATTATAAAAAATAAAAAAAAATTACATTGCTCTTATTGGTTTCCCTTTTGCCCTGCCAACATAGGTCTTGTGAGTGAGACTTTTTCCAACCTCAATAAATGTTCGTTGAATTGGGTGTGAGTTCGATTTTTTCATGTTACTATCTGCGAAGAAAAACATTGCAGTTGATCAAGACAATAAGCAATGAATTTGAAACATGGAAATATCAGAGGGATCAATAGCCAATGTTGACCGCCAGTTGCCCATTGCTGATTAATCAAAGCAAACCAACAAGTCTCTTGAAACCCCAAAGGCAGAGAAGGGGGGAACCAAAAACATATAAGTAAATAAATAAATAAAACCCTGGCTACATACATAGATATCCTATAATTAAAAAAATTTAATTGTTTTTTATATATTTCTTTTTAAATAAAAGGTGAGAATAGCACCGGCTATGTATGAACAGTTCATGTAGTTCCCAGAGTTGTCTTCTTTTTTTTTTCTATTTTCATGTCATGTAGTTCTCTTAAAAAATCTCTCGTTCTCATAAAAACAATGTAACTTTACAGTTTATTGCAAGAACCTCCATTTCAGGCTTTACTATGTATTTTGGATTTTTTTTTTTTCCCCCGATTTCAATTGAATCCCTACTGTTTCGCAGGAAAAAAAAAACAACGTAAGTTTACCTTAACTTTGATGACCGACAGTTCGAGTAAACTGAGACATTGAAAATTCAAAGTTGGAAGACCATCTGCAAACTCGGCTCACCCAATTCAGTCTTAATTTTTTGTGTACTTTCAGAGTCTATCAGACCGTCCAAAATTATTTTTTTTTTCTTTCTGGAGATTATTATCCGATACAATTAATTGCAGCACCAACTTGCATAAACTGGTTGATGATCTACAGGGACACTTCACACAGCTGTGGCCTTATAATCTCAACCCCAGTGATTTCTATAAACACAGCCTAAACCTTTCTCTTCTCTTCATCCCAACAACTCTTTACTCTTCAAACAACTCTCTGTGTCCTTTAAACTCTTCCTTTGATCATTTTCCAACTCAAAAACTCATATATCATGGGTGTCTTCACATACGAAACAGAGTTCACCTCTGTCATCCCACCAGCCAAGTTGTTCAAGGCTGTCATCCTCGACGCCGACAACCTCATCCCCAAGCTTGCTCCAACAGCAGTGAAAGGTACCGAGATCCTTGAAGGAGATGGAGGAGCTGGAACCATCAAGAAGGTCACCTTTGGTGAAGGTAATTAGCTTGTTCTTTTTATTTTTATTTTTTTAATACAAGAGAGAGATTAAAAAATGGGGGATTAACACAAGACACTCAGATGTAATAGTAACTGCTCTTAACCACTTGATTTACAAGTGAAGTAATTATGCTCATGTTTTTTTTTTAAGATCGTAAAAAATTCTTGTAATGTGACAAGCATGGTTGACTAATTTGTTTATTTATGTTATAATTTGCAGGAAGCCAATATGGGTATGTGAAGCACAGGATCGATGGGATTGACAAAGACAACTTTTCATACAGTTACACTTTGATTGAAGGAGATGCCTTGTCTGACGTAATCGAGAAGATCGCTTATGATATCAAGTTGGTGGCATCCCCCAACGGAGGATCCATCGTCAAGACCATCAGCCACTACCATACCAAGGGAGATGTTGAGATCAAGGAAGAGGAAGTTAAGGCTGGCAAAGAGAAGGCTGCCGGTATCTTCAAGGTTGTTGAAGGCTACCTCTTGGCCAACCCCGACGCCTACAACTAAATCCAGACTTTTGTTTGTATTTATGTTTTTCAAGCTCTGTTATCAGCTGAAGGTGTGGATTTGATGTTGTTGTTTCTGCCTAAAGAGTGAGGTAAAAAAAAAAGGGAAAGAAAAACTGCCCTGGCCTTGGTGTGTTAAATGTTTGTTGTCCCATATATTCCAGGTGGATTGGGATTGTATTATTTTCTACAAAATAATGAAAATCATATGTTAATAAAACTATAAATTGCAAGTGCACTGGGCTAGGGCTCGTCAATGCTCGGCCCAAATTTAATGGGCTTGGGTTGGGCTGGGCCGGACTTTAAAGAGGAGAGAAAATATCGGGCCGGGCCAAGCCAGGTTTTTTTAGAAAATTCAAAGCCCAAGCTCGTCTCATGGGCCGGGCTTGAAAAAGCCTATCGGGCTAGGGCGGGCTGAAATGGGCCTAAAAAATAATAAGTGTAAAAAAAATTTATTTTTATTATAAGGATGGTATGAATAAATATGCAAATGTTTGGTGATGTGTTAAAGAAAAGTATGATTATATTTGGTGGTATGATTATGTTTGGTGATATGATATGTTGTTCATCTTATTATATATATATATATATAATTGTTGTATTAATAAATGACACAAATTAATGTGCTAATCATCCAATTATAAACTAGGAATGAGTATAATTCAATAGAAACACAATTTTTCAAACAAGTAACACACACACAAAAAAATGAAAGAAGGGGATTTGTCATTCAAGTGATGTAATCCTAATCCTAAACCCTTATTTATACATAATTATATATGTATGCGGGCCTAACGGGCTGGGCTTTTGTGGGTGGGGCGGGCCTGGCTTTCATGGGCTTAATCGGGCCGAACCTATGGGCCGGGCCGAGCTTCAAACACCCAAGTCCAAGCCTAGCCCAAGCCCAAGCGAGCCGAGCCCTCTCAAAGCCCATAACGGGCCGGGCCGGGCTTTTTTTTGATGGGCCGGGCGGGCCCCCGTAGGCCCATGATCCTGCGGACCAAATGATGAGGCCTACACTGGGCTCATTATTTTCTTCGATTTCAATATATTTAACAATATTTTGATGTCACCAAAAAAAATTGATTAGAACTTGATTAGTCTGACGATTAAATCCCTATGTTTAAAGTGACTCGCCTATTCCTGTTGGCCTCTGTCTTTGCCTTATATTTGGTACAACAAAAGAAAATTATAAAAATAATATAAAACTATGAATCTAAAGGTTGACATCTGAAATTTATAAATAAAATTGACCGTTTAATAACATGACATAATGAGTTTATAACATAGTAAGTTTGACAGGTAAGGATAGCACAATACGATATTAAGCCAATGAAACACAATGCTTGTAAATTAATATTATCTTATGAGTCGAACTAAAATAATGAGATAAGGAAGCTCATGGCCTATAACACTTACAAATGGCGAGGGCTTTGTTGTCTTTGAAATTGCATAAATTTGGGAATATCCATGCCATGACGAATATGCTAAATTAGGACTAACCATGATCTTTAAGACGGTGAGGTGGGACATGTGAAAAACACACAAATTTTTCTTCAATTTATAACAGGGAGTTTCACTAAAATACCCAAAATGGGGGCTGAAATTATAAAAATACCAAACACCCAAAACACTTTATAAACATACCCAAAACTCATCATTACACACACTCAAAACCCATTTATAAACATACCCAAAACTCATCATTACACACATACCCAAACCCATTTTGGGTATGTTTCTATGTTTAAATAGTGCTTGGGTATTTTTATAAATACATGTCTAGGATTTGGTATTTTTATAAATATCTATTTATAATAATCGTGTACGTCAAGAACTAAAAAATCTGATGAAAACAAAACTTTTTTTTTTTTCATGATCTTTCTTATTGAGAGGGATGATAACATATTAAACTCACATACACTATATAAATGCTAGGACTCGAACCTAAGACCTTTCATAAAGTAAGCATTTGTTCCAAACCAGTACACTAGTTTATCATTTACTAATATTTCAATATTAACTATCCATTTTTTACACTCATCAAAATCTTTTAGCTAATTTTCTTTTACGTTTAAAAATATAAGCACTCACTTGTATTCAAAAAAACATATATTTATTTTTACCTATATATATATATATATATATATATATTATATATTATCACTCGAGTAATGATTGAACCCTCTTAAATAGTGTCTAAACTCTCAAGTAATTTTTTTAGAATATATAAAAAAAAGGGACTGAAAAATCTTCTAAATGCTTAAAACTTTGTTAGTTTTCAAAATTTCACAAACCCTTATGAGAGATGCCAAGCCTGCAATAATTGTTCAGATGAGCTATATCAATAAAACTATTTAGTCAACCTTAATTAGTTGATAGGGAGCAACAACAACAAAATTAATAATAAAAAGGAACTTCAATATAAGTTGTACAAATAATGGACTTGGTGTATACTTTTCCGAACTCCATTGACTTCATGGATAATAGGTGGTAGCAATAGTTTAACAAGAAAAATAATTTTTTAATTATTTGTAGGGAATAAAAGATATTCGATATACTTATTCTTTAGTGAACGATACATTGTATATGCCCTGGCTACCCGGGAACTTTATTATTATTTTATTTTTTTGGAATATTCTTTATTAGGAGGGGACGATAATATATCAAACTCACACATACTATATAGATATTAAGACTCGAACCCAAAATATTTTCTAAAAAAACAATTACTCTAAACTACTACCACTATAGTGAGTCCTTTGTGCTAGGGAACTTATTATATATATGTAAGACTAGTACTTTTTTTGGGAGGAGATTTTATTAGTAACGAAAGAAATAAAATAAAATTGTCAGCTAGAATGTTATCATGCTCTAGGCATTTGAATGGTACTATGACGCCTTCCAACAGCTTTCGGCAAAATTATTGTGTGCAGATTTTTATTTTATTGATTTTTGTAAGGTAAAGTAATTTGGTCACATGCAATAGACAAAATGTGATACCATTATTATTACATACTACATAGTAAGTTGTATATGTGACATTTGGTACCTAATGCAACTACTCCATCAATAAAACCAAATAGTTAATGTAGCAATCATCATAGAAAAGATGTTTTTTTTTTATAATTACATTCATAATTTAGCCAAAAAAAAATCACTAGCCACAAAGGGCCAATACAAACTAGTCACAAAAATGTCATTACAATAACGGCAATCTAACATCAAAATTAAGACAATCTAACGCGCCTCCACTGACGATCACACAAGATCAAAGAAACTCTGGCATAGACATCTCAACTAAGATTGCAAACTTAGAATAATCAAAAAGATATAAAGCTTGAAAAAACCAAGTTATAACAATACAAATAAAACTCTCACAAAGGAGAGATGAAAAACTCTCACAAATGAGAAATAAAAAGCTCTCACAAAAGAAGAGGTCAAAATTACATAGAGAACCCAAAGACTCTCTGCAACTTATTCTAAACATAAAGAAACCGCAAAAAGAATAATAATGGAGATTCGACATCGAAACGCAAGTGGAAATTCGACACTAAAGCGCAACCACATGTGATAATCGGATAAAAATAATAGAAAAGATATTCTGAAAGCAAAAGATTGAGAGGTATTAAATATATTGATAGCCAATTCTGACTGCCAGCTGCCATTCTTGAAATAAAAACTCTCAAGTCTTCAATACTCAACCCCACCCCTTTCCCCCACCTCCCTCCCAAATTAAAGAAGAGAAGGAAAATCAGAAAAGAACAGAAAAAAAGCAGCTACAAAAACAAAAAATTACAAAGGTGATAATTAACCAAGCCAAGCCAAATTATTGTTCTTGGTCAATTTTGTCACAATTTCTGACATGTGTATTTTGGTTTTCTTCATTTGGTTGCCTTTTGCCTTCAACCATATCCGATGATTTGAAAAAGCTTTCCAAAAAAAGCACCATCTTTATCTAAAATTCCTACTTTTTACCATCAAATTAAAATGAGATGCCGACGGTCCAATTATCTGACAAGCAGCTTTTAAACTATGATGATCTTGAAACTATGATGATCAAGGGGAAAATTGAAGTTGTACCAACACATCTGGAAAGCCTTTATTTTATTTTGTTATACTTTATTTGACTCAGACACAGATATGTATTAAATACTGGATGTTGGGAGATATATATATATATATATATATATCCAATAAATAAGTGACACAATTTGTATATTAAAAATTTGAAGTTCCTTGTTAATTCAGAGACTTCCAATATGCAAATGACAATTTGCCCCAAACTCTTCGCTGTAGAGGGAACAGCTCACAAGGCGCAACCTTCACTCTAAATCTATAAATACCACCTCTCTGTACTCATCTTCAACACACTCTCAACCTTCTCTAAAACCATCATCTTTGTAGTTTGTTCATTTTGCTCATCCTCAACCTTTTGATCATCACCATGGGTGTCTTCACATATGAGAGCGAGTTCACCTCTGAGATCCCACCACCAAGATTGTTCAAGGCCTTTGTCCTCGATGCTGACAACCTTGTCCCTAAGATTGCTCCACAGGCAATTAAGCACTCTGAAATCCTTGAAGGAGATGGCGGCCCCGGAACCATCAAGAAGATCACTTTCGGCGAAGGTAATTAATTAGCTTACAGTATATATGTTGTTAGACTGTTAATATGAAATCAGGTCGTTGAATTCTTACTTGAACATATATGTGTGACTCAGATTGACTGTGGGATAACATAACATGTTTTATTATTGTTATTCAGGCAGCCAATACGGCTACGTGAAGCACAAGATTGACTCCATTGACAAAGAAAACTATTCATACAGCTACACCTTGATCGAAGGAGATGCTTTGGGAGACACCCTTGAGAAGATCTCGTACGAGACCAAGTTGGTGGCATCCCCCAGCGGAGGATCCATCATCAAGAGCACCAGCCACTACCACACCAAGGGAAATGTTGAGATCAAGGAAGAGCATGTCAAGGCTGGCAAAGAGAAGGCCTCCAATCTCTTCAAGCTCATTGAGACCTACCTTAAGGGCCACCCCGATGCCTACAACTAAATTGATCAGATGTCTCCGTGATGCTTGGGTCTTGCCTTTACTATATGATCAGTCGAAGAAGATTTGTGTGGCTTTTCTTGTTGCTTTCTAGTCAGTCCAAAGTAGCCATAGGGTTGTTGGGCACTTGGGCTTGAAAATAAGTGTTTATGGGTTGTGATCTTCTGGTTGCTTTTGATGTTTTTGCTTGGATCAAGTTGCAGACTGAGCAGAGTGTATTTATCTTCTATATATGAATATAATGAAACTTCCTTGTAATGAAATGTTTCACTTGCAAACAATTAGTGCAGTGAGTAAATTTCCTAAAACCTATGTTCTAGATATAATAATACTAGATTGTACCATATAAAATTTGCAGCATAATCAATAATTGCACATGATCAACTTGAGAATTAATTACTTCCCTACCCCAAGACGCTATAAGAAGAATTTTCTTGACTCCCTTCGTAAAAGGTTTATAGCTCAAGTGATTAAGATCAGTTACTTAAGTACCCAATATTGAAACAAATTAAACAAAATTACAAGATTATTCAAGGAGTTTGCAAAGTTGAAAGTTTTCTTGAGTCCCATTTGGGCAACAAACTACGCTTAAAACAAACCATTCATCACATCACATCCCTTCACATTTTGATAAGACAGTGATCGTTGAAATGAAGACTTGGCAAACTTTGGATGCAGATAGACAAACATTAGGGTCGGTACATGCGTAATACTTTTTACTTTAATTAGGACAGATTTTTATAATGATAACCTAGAGTAATTAATTAAAGAGTAGACGAGCAATTATCATAAACCTCTTATGATAAACTAAAGTAATTAAAGACCACTACTACTGAGTAATATATTATATGGAGCCAACTTGTTTTTTCTTTTCACGAACTGGACAAACATGAACCGACTTGGTTTTAAATAAAAAAAATTCAAACAGATAAGGAGCGGGGTCCTACTAGCTTTATGAATTTTGACCTGGTGCATCCGTCTAGAAATGTGACCAAATGCAAATTCTATATATCAAATTAGACAGAGAAGAATTAATTCACAGAGACGACTTTCTTTGCTATCTTAAGACGACTCTCCTTGCCCCAAGATCGGGTGATTTGAGCCCGTGATTTAGTGCAAGTAAAGTGTCAACTAAGGTTTCTTTTTAAAAAATTATTTTTGTGAACAGAAGTTATATAAATCAAACGGACAGAGAGATTCGAACTTGAGACTTCTTTCGACTTTAGAAAAAAAAAGAGATATTATCATTAGAAGAATAAGAACTAATCAAACTAATTAATCCAGTATAATTGACCAAATCATACAAAAAAGTCTACACAAACAAAACTAAAGCAAATGAGATTTCCTAATCACTCATCAGTGGCGGGGTCAGGATTTCATATTAGAGGGAGTCCTTCATAAAACTTGTATTCTCTTTATAAATTAATTATCATGAATTTCATATTTTACATTGGTTAAATACTAATTTCATCATCTATACTATTAAAGACTTAAAAATTAATCATTTATATTCTCACAGAGAAAAGAAATGAAAAACAAAAAGAGTTCATAAAGGGAAATATTAAGGTACCCAACTCATACATGAAAAAAAAAAAAGGGGAAAATAAAAAATTCACAAAGCTTTAAACAAAAGAGGAAGAGAAAAAAAGGTTAAAACTTTAGGAGTTTATATTGCAAATATCATAAACTAACCTAGAAGATTTAAGGGAGATGAGTTGAAGAGAGATCAAGAAATTTTATGGTTTATTTGTAGACAAAAAGAACATAATATATTAATTTTTTTTAGCGTAAATATCCTAAAACAAATCTAATATATTATAATATTATATATCTATCTATATATATAAAGCAAAAGGCAGAGAATGGTGAAACATTCAAAATACCAGAAAATGTCCTTGGTTAATGCAAACATTAAGAATTGAAATTATTAATTAAATGAGGATAATATAGTAAATTCACACTTTTTTATATTAAAAAATTTTAAAATTAAAAGAAAAATCATATAATGGATCCTCTTTTTATGGAACACAACTACCCATTATCTTTTTTTAATTCTAAAATAAATTTAAATTTTTTTTTAAAAAAACCTCTCGCAGGTGCGGAAGCGCGTACGGAGAGGCTACTGATATATAATATACAAATAAAAAAGATAAAAATTAAGTGGGGCCTGGGACCACACTAGTCCCATGCTAGCTCCTCCCCCCATTATACAAAAAGCTATTTAATTAGAAAAATTAAGTATGGAAACTTCTCTAAAATTACTGGATTGCTTCCAAATAACATATTTGAAAAGTCGTTGGTTATTAGATTTTAGTTTTTATTGGTGTCACGCTATCGGGCCTACCTGCATATTGGGAATTCAAAGACAAAGTCATGAGAGCTAAATGTTACAACATGTTGTACATGACCAAGACTTAAATCCTTCCTAGCTACCTACGTCTTAGGTTTGAGCTGGAGAAGAAAAGAAGGAAATTGAAAAAGAAAATGAAAAACAAACAAAGTACAACTGTCTGTGAATATATTGATCACTATATTGATTGTGACTTAACCTTAATTGCCTCTTTAACCATTTGAACAACTACTGAGTATTTTACACCATTAATTTAAATTCGTCAGTATAGTTAATAAGGAAATATTTTTGCTCATTGATTTAACCCAAGGTATATCATCATCACCCTTCTTAACACTTTACAGGTGTTCATCAGCATAATCATAGTTAACTGTTTGATTTGTATTTGTGGAATCGTGATTATGCCCATGAACATGTGTCAAGTGTTAAGAATGATGGTGAGAGTACACCTTAAGTTAAAGTGATGAGCAAAAATGCTCTCTAAAAATAATTCAAATCTTAGCGGGATTGAGAAGCAAGTGAAAACAAATGCAAGTAGATTGGAGCAATTTGACTAGTTGAATTTGATTAAATTTGTACAAATCCTGGGTGTTAATAGCTATAAAATAATTAAGATAAGATTAAAGGTTGTTTTGAACTTGTGACTAATAAATACACATATAATATTTCACACAAATTAGACTATCAATTTCATTACAATTTAGAACTCATATCAATATAGAAATTCAACTGAACTAATAAAGCAAACAACCGTACAATAAGATATAAAGAAATAAAAAAATAGACTTTATATCCATGATGATCCATTTTGTTTGTTATGTATGTGCACATCGTGGAGGGTCGTCGGCAGAAAGGCTTCGAAACAGCAGATATTAAGGAGGTCGCTGTCTCTTGAAAACATCAACACAAATCAGTGTTTATGCTTTTAAGTACATACCTGGTCTTTTCTTTTATTTTTCATTTCTATATAAATGAAAACTACTTTATCTTAGGCACGTAACAAATGAGTTTTTTTTTTGTTTTTTGTTTTTCCTGTTAAGAATTCATTTGCCGTCACTATAGTATTCAAAGAAAAATGTACAAATAAGTCAGCATTTGGATTGTTTGAGGTTCAATTGGACCTAATTTAAATGGGCCTAGGAGCAAGTGCAGCGGTGCACCCAAGCCTGGGGCTAGGGGGGGTTCAAGAAGAAAAAGGTGTTCCAGCGGGCTTTGTTTGCCCAGGCTGAGTGTGGGCTCCACAAGCCTGGGCTGGGCCTCAGGCAAAACCAGCCCCAGTGCTAGCCAGGGTTTACTGATGTCAACAACCAAAAAAATTTATAAAAAATCTAAATTTTTTTAAAAAAATACTAAAAATTTCAGATTTTTTTTTAAAATAAATACTTAGTCATATTTTTTACTTCCCACATAAAAAATCTATACAAATTCCTCTCCTCATATCTTATGTGAATAGTGGTTGCCATAGCAACAGTTGGAAACACACATTGCTTTTTGCGAGGGCAACCACTATTCACATGAATAGTGGCTGCCCTAGCTCCCCCCTTGCCATGGCAAAGGGCAAATGGGTGGAGTTGCTCTAATAGGATACATAAGACCCAATATAATAAACTCTTATCCAACCGGAAAAAAGCAAACTCGGTTTTTTTTTTTTCAGTACAAGCGATCTTTTGTTTTTATTTAGGAAAATAATTTTCCCACTCCCTTTTTATCCACCTATACTTCTTTTTACACTTTTTTAAAAGCAAAGTTTATAGAGCAAAAACACATCATACTCCTCCCATGTCCATCCATCATGCAATCTACTTGTTTTGTTAGGTGACAATTGGAGTTCAATATGGTATACAAAGCGAAAGGCGATCAAGATCCACGGCCGGATCTCTTTTGTCTTTCCTTTTGCTTATAGGCTAATGAACCTTGAAAAGGTCGCCCCTTGAAATTATTTTAGAATATATTGCACAAATCAAAAGTCTTTGAACAAACCGAAGAAATTTCAGGAACAAGAATTGATGTCACAACTTCAACCTATATATACTTCCCATGGACCACCCTCACTGACCAAAGCTTCTTAATACTCTCTACACAAATTAGCCCATCTTTCCAAGATATAATATCTTACTTTATATCTTCAATTCTCTGAATTACTATGGGTGTCATCACGTGTACAGATGAGTACACTTCCCCAATCCCTCCAGCCAGGTTGTTCAAGGCCTTGGTCCTTGATGCTCACAACCTTGTCCCAAACCTCATGCCTCAGGCTGTTAAGAGCATTGACACCCTCCAAGGTGATGGAAGGGCAGGAAGCATTAAGCAAATCAACTTCGCCGAAGGCATGTCTAGCTAGTTACCGCAACGTCTTTTTTAGGGAAATATTCTACTACCAGATTGTCAATCTAGCACCACTACATGCTAATATTTGTTTGAGCGTGTAGTGCCAGATTGAAAATTTGGCCGGCAACATAATATTACCTTGGATTATATAATTTACAGAGTTTTTATAAGATTATTTTCTTCATGCAGGTAGCCAACTAAAATCTGTGAAAAACCGTGTTGATCAGGTGGATGAAGAGAACTTTGTATATGGCTACACTTTGATTGAAGGAGATGCATTAGTAATGGAGAAACTTGAATACGTTTCTTATGAGGTTAAGTTTGAGGCTGCAGAAGATGGTGGTAGTAAGAACAAGATGGTGAGCAAGTACCACACCAAGGGTGACTTTGTGCTGCAAGAGGAAGATATAAAAGCTGGCAGGGAAAAGGCATTGGGGATGTACAAAGTCGTAGAAGCCTACCTCCTCCACAACCCTGATGCCTATGCTTAAAGCCTTAAACTTTATGTACAAAGAGAAGAGACCCAAAAGAAAATTTCTCTTGGGCTTTGCTTTTCACTTGATAATGCTTGTGACTCTCGTTGATTTGGAGTCATTCAATAACGTGGTTCTTATCTAAAACCGTTAGACGAGGTCTTATCTCCTAACCGTTAGATCAAACTACCCAATTTGATTTAATGGCTAACTAATTTAATTCAATAATTAAGAGATAGGGCCTCATCTAAGGGCCTTAGGCCCTCACTATAGAATTGTAGGGTTGATTTGAACATTTTCTCCATTATATACAATTGTAGTCTCAATTCGTTGGAGATTGGCAACAAAGAAATGTGATAAATAAATAAGCTTCCTATATAATATTGATTGAAATATCATACTTTTTCTTCTTCGATCCGGAAAATGTCTTTTATTTATTTAATACAAAAGATACAGAAAGAGGAGAACATAGGACCTCAGCTGCAAGAATAATTGCGCCTTTTTTTAAAAAAAGGGAGCTCCGATATAGAAGAAACTGTCTTTAAACTCTGCTTTTTTTTAAAATCTTTTTGGGCCTATCAGCTGAATTCTATACCCGTTCCTGAGTCCAATGCTGGTAGGCCAAAATGGGTCTTGTTTTGCTGCAAAACCCAAAACTATTTTGAGAACTATTAGCAAATATATATCTTGTTTTATTTTTTTTATTTTTAGCCGTGTGGGCCATGTAGATAGTAATGTAATGTGTACCAATTATGTTTCTTTCTGCACTGAAAAAACTTAGAAAGTACCAAGTGGAAGTCCTGAGGAAGCGAAAGATGCCCCACAACAAATTCAATAAATATATATTAATTCCACCCACCAATCTAGAAGTCTAAAAAACAAAGGGATGCACTAGCGTGACGGGTAGGTTTATGGTTTTGCTTGTTAGAGTTTATGGTCCAGCCGAACCAGTTGGCAGAAGGTACCTTTGGAAATAATTGATAATATAGAATATTCAAACAAAAATGCACATCAAGTTTTACATACAATGCATTTATTTGGATGGATTTTAAAAAGTCTGGATTGAATACACCCAGAATTTTATGGATCCCGACCCTCTGCATTTAACATCTGTGCATTTTCACGCATTTAAGATAATGTTAACCATTAGATTAATCTAATGAACTTTAATAAGTCCACATCATCATAATTGTATTAAACCAAATATAACCATTTGCACCTTATTATATTTATCCAATAACTCTGAAAAAAAAAAAAAAAAAAAAAAAGTATCCCAGCAAGCAGCAATCATCTTCCCCGTAAGAAAAAAAAAAAAAAACATCTACCTTGACCCAGCCTCCTACCCTCACTGCCATCCATGGCAGCCACCCCTCATTCTCTTAAATGCGTGTAAATGTATGAATGCTAAATACAGAGGGTCGTGATCTGAATTTTATAGATTTCTATATAATTGTAATTAAATACATCAGGACTTTTAAACTCCTTTAAAATCTTTTAAAATCTCAATTGAATAACCCATCAGGCCTAACATATCAAGTAGTCTTCCTGTAGAATCAAAAGTTCAAATGTACCTTTCAGAGCATGGAAATTCCATGTAACTGCCAGTCATCCAGTTGAAAAGTCCACCTTAGGCTACATTTGGTCCATTTTGTACATTAGAATTTTGATTGCATTAAGATTTAAAATATTCATGCCAATTACCAAGCAATGCAGGCACCACCTAAAACTTCTTCATAGTAAAAACAAAAGTCGTTGTGTCTTCATATTCCCATCTCAAAACATCATCCATTCATCTTCTTCCTCACAACAAACCCTCTCTCTCTGATCAAGCAAAAAAGCCAAGATGGGGTTCACCAAAGTGAGCCAGAAATTTGTGACTCAGGTAACTCCAGAAAGGATGTTCAAGGCCTTGGTCCTTGATGCCCACAACATCTGCCCCAAGCTCATGTTTTCATCAATCAAAAGTATTGATTTCGTTGAAGGTGAAGGGGAGGTAGGAACCATCAAACAGATCAACTTCACTGAAGGTCAGCAACACAAAGTCAACCCTCTTTTTCTTTCTCAATGTTTTTTTTATGAAATATAATTCTAATAATATCTGACATATTTGGTTTTGTTGGGGATGGATGTGTAGCTAGCCCTATGAGATATGTGAAGCACAGGATTGATGCTCTGGACAAAGAGGCACTCAGTTGCACCTACACTTTCATAGAATGCGATGCAGAAAATAGTTTGCTGGAAAAGCTTGAATACATAACTTATGAAGTCAAGTTTGAGGGATATGGCAGAGGAGGATGCATATGTAATTTGACAAGCACATACAAAGCCAAAGATGATATACATATCAAAGAAGAGGACATTGAGCTTGGAAAAGACAGAGCTATTGGGATGTATGAAGTTTTGGAAGCCTACCTCATGGCACACCCTCGTGCCTACACTTAAAATTTCCAATAAACCTTCAAGTTTTTGTATACATTTTTTGGATTTTATTGTTCATGTTTTTTTTTTCCTTTTCCAGAAGTGCTTTTCTTGTTGTGCTTTCCTTAATTTTCTTGTTCTTGCACAAGATTGTGATTCAGATGAATATATAATTTTGGTCATAATCTACTGAATCTGGGGGATTTTATCTCTGTGGTGTGCAAAAGTAGTTCGTCCAATTTTTTTTCTTTAGCAGATAGTTCATCCAATTTCATTTACACTAAAAAATATCTAAGCAGTATCCATCCTGAGAAATGTGAAGGGATTGGAAAGCAGAAACCATGATAAACAGATTGAAACTCTAGTCTAGTCTCGATTTCTTAATTCGACTCTGTCAACAGTTTGTATTTTGTAAATTATTTGTTCTGATTTACCTTGTCAAATAAGGAATTAGTTGCAGAAACATTAAAAATATGCAGATGAAATTGAAAAGTTTCACTTGAATAATAGAGAGAGTGAAGAAAGAAAAAATTCAGAACTTGGGTCAGAGGTGTTGGATTGGATTTTTTTTTAAAACTGTATTTTTATAATTTCTCTATGATTTAAATCATGGATCATCTCTTGTTGCTACGTAGAGGTAGGATTTCATTCAATCAAGTTAAATATAAAATTCTTTGTGGGTAATCTATGTTGAATTAATCTTGGTAATGGATGTGGTTCCAGATAAAACCTAAACAATTAGTCAACAATCAACATGCATGAGTCTCGTGAAAGTATTAACCAATTGTCTAGACGGATAGGAATTGTCACAATCTAACCCCTTGAGGTAACATGTAGCCCTTATGATATTTGAAGGTTAAGCCTTGATGCACAAATGGCTATTGGCAATTTGCAGCCTTGCCCTTCACTGGAGGCTGCATCTGGTAATTTGCAACCACAACTTGTTGCTGACTTGCCCAAACCCACAACATGTTTTCCACCAACAGCATGTCATCCATAGTTCAACTACAACTTGAAAGGCCAACTCACAAAGGAATTCGAATTGGATCAACTCGGCCCACTACTCATGAACTTTGTTCTAAGGGGATACGCTCGAATGACCTCTTCTCATAATTAGAATGTATATAACCCTTTTCCAGTCTAGTCCGGTATTGTATAAACTTATAATCATGGAATCGACTTGATCGTGTTAAATTCATAATCCACAGAAAACTCGGACCTCATAAGGAACCAAAATGCTACAGTTTACTGGCAGAATTTGGGTTAAATGTGCCAGATCTTGAAATCTTGCCCCAATCTTGTAACAGCCGCCCATGTGTTTGATATCATAAACATGTATTTTCTTTAGTAGAATCTTTGAAGTTTGAAACTTAAGTCTAACTTAGTGGCCAAAATACTTTGAAACCTTGACAAACATTCTATGACTAATCAATCATGCATTCTTTGCGAAATGGATTTCGCCAACCTACACTCAAACCTAAGCTATATATATACTGCCAATGGTTTCCACCACTCTCTATACTCTGTTTTTGATCTCTTCTCATTACAACTAATCTGCATACATGGGTGTGACAAGTATTACACAGGAGTTCCTGTGCCCAATTGCCCCGGCGCGCATGTTCAAGGCTTTGATCATAGACTCTAAAAATTTGATACCAAGGCTGTTGCCCCAGTTCATAGCAAGCGTTGATGTAACTCAAGGAGATGGGGGAGCAGGAAGCATTGAACAAGTCAACTTCACAGAAGGTTTGTAATCTGACATAAAAATCAAAAAACAACAGATAAGCTTTCGTTTTAGCAGTTCTGCAGTTTTGTCTATATTTCTTGTCTGAGTGAACGTTTTGTTTGGTTTACAATGTAGCTAGCCATTTCAGATACGTGAAGCACCGAATCGATGAACTTGACCAAGATAATTTTGTGTGCAAGTACACAATGATTGAAGGGGATGCATTAGGTGACAAGCTCGATTCGATTGCTTATGAGGTCAAGTTTGAGGCAGCCAGTGATGGGAGCTCAATCTGCAAGATGACAAGTAAATACAACACCATAGGGGAGTTTGAGGTCAAAGAAGAGGAAATCATATCAGGAAAGAACAGTGCTATGGGGATATACAAAGTTGTGGAAGCCTACCTCTTGGAGAACCCACATGTTTATTCTTGAGTGCTATGGGGATATATAGTTACAACTATTTAATTCTATATATACATAAACAATATATACTGCTGCAAATTCATTGTTTAGGAACCTTGTGAACCGTTCATCAAGGGTTGCCATTATAATTAATAAAACAAGAATATTGTAATTTGTAAGACAAAGTTCCAAATATTAGTGGACTTCTTGAGTTTTGTGACCATATTTTTGAAGTATACAATCCATCTTTGAACACTAATCACAGATGGAAATTCATCAGCCAACAATACCATACCACCAGACAAGAATATCATTAGCAGAAGCAAAGCATACCCACCAGCCTGTATATTCCTTACGTTCGACATCGCAAAAAGGAGAAGAAAAAAAACAAAAAATAGTCAATTTTCTTCACTCTTTATTTAGGGAAATGGACTTTGTTTTCAGTATGCAACAACCTCAACAATTTGGTCAATGACTCAATGCAAAGCTAGTCAATGTTCTTCACTATCTTCTTTAGCGAGAGCCAGCTTGTATATTCCCTCTGATCCCCAATACTTTTCATGCTTCAGTCTTTTTGTTCAATCAGAAAGAATGCATCCACCAGACGCAGTATAATGCAGCCTTTTAATTGTTTTGTTTTTATCCCAAGAGAGTCCTTTCGCTATTTGGCCGGCTCTGTTTTTTTGATCCCTTGGATAGAAAGAGATTAGCAGCACTTGGCAGCATTGTCCCGAAAATGGAAATATTCTTTCCAGAGTGACAACAAGAAATCATGGCCTCAAATGCCAAAACCAAATATCTCCACAAAGTAAGAACTACCACCAAGAAACGTTCAAAACAACACAAAGGCAGTTTCTTTTTGTTGTTTATTTTGTATTTCACAGCTGGGAAGCCTAACTCTGCACAAGCTGGTCCAAGAACAAACAGCAATCAACTTTACGTGCCAATGCCAAGCTCTAAAGTCCATCTCCACAACCTCATAACAGAACAGACGAACTAAGCACAATTTGCCAACAACTAACATTCTGGTCAATATACAGTCCTAAAGGAAGCAACCCATTAATCTTTGCAATTATAAGAAATAATGCATTAGTTATATGACACTTGGTAGGTGCTGGATGGTTGGAGCTGGCTACAATATTAATTAATTATATATAAGTTCCTTTTTTACTAAGAGCATCTGCAATGGTTAGGATCAATGCAATTTTATTGCATGAAATTGAACTAAAACAGTAAAATCTCACTTGCAATGGTGTGATTTAGTTCATTGTGGTGCTACGTGATGAACCCTTTATTGAATTGCAATAGACTAATCATGGGATCCACGTGCCAATAAACTAATGCTATTGAATTGTACCATTGCAAGTAAAATTGTAGTTCAATTCCGTAGATGACAAAATTGAACTATTGAACAACCATTACGGATGCTCTAAAGAATGGCTAAAATTGAAACTCAAAAGCATCAAGCAATTTAGTTAGATAACTTTAAAAAACTTAGTTACGTATTTGGCCTCTTTTTACAATGACCAAAGTCAAACAACTTTGAAAACTGATAGGCCCCGGTGCCATAGGGACCTAAAGATTCGATCAATTCCAAGAATGGGGCCCTGATTCTTAGTTGGAAAATAAGATGGTTAAGCTCCATTCAGACCAGGCTGACACACAATTTAATAAGATCACGCTCAACACTTTGCTAAAGCAAAACAGCAATTAAGCAGTATTAAGAAGAGAAAGAATCTGCACCTCAAAATCTCTGTCAACCTTTACGACTAAAATGAAAGGAGGTTTATGCTTTCCAACCCCAAATTATTTTTTGTCATTTTCAAATACGTAAGATTTGATCTTTGCTTGTGCCAAAAGGATTCCATAATAGTGGAACTCCTTCAAGCCTGAAAAGCTAGCCATGCACTGGTGGAAATGTAAACAAATGTAATATAGTAACTTCAATTTCTTTTCTATGGTCGGTTTTGGATATCCTAATAAGCTCACAGACGTCCCTCAATTATACACAGACATCCAGGATAAAGCAAAATTCCCTTTGGCTCTCAACATTGCAATGTCCATACAAAAAAACTGACCCTTTTCTTGAACCCACGCCCTCTCTCTCTCTCTCTCTCTCTCTCTCTCCAGCCTTTAAGATTTGACACTGCTTTTTGGAGGCTAATCAATCTGCAATATTTTCAATCTTTCTCTTGTGGAAAGGAGATTCCTTTCATGCCCCACATCTTTTGCCTTTCAATTATTCCTTGCCTGTGTACAAATAAAATGCCACCTATTGATTCTTCGTTCATACTCTCCTCCACCCCCTCTTCTTCATCACATACTAATCACATTTCCTGGTTTCTTCTCTCTTCTCTCCATTGCCTCTCATGGCTTCAGGATTAGAGGTATGGCTTGCATGCTTCCACATGACATGTATTGATGCAATCCAACACTGGTTTTTCTAACCAGAATTTTTTTGTGTCGAATGCAGAAACCCCGAGTGACGGAGATACATGTCCGGATGGACTGTAATGGATGCGTACAGAAGATCAAGAAAGCACTACATGGCATCAATGGTAAGAATTCATGACATACTTTTGGTATGTTTTCCTTTACACTAAAAACGCATCATTCATTACCTCCTAAACTGAATGAACTCTCATTTTCCACAGGTATATATGACCTCTACATTGACTTCCCACAACAAAAGCTAACAATAATTGGGTGGGCAGACCCTGAGAAGATAGTCAAAGCCATTAAGAAGACAAGGAAGATGGCCACCATATGTTCCCATACAGAGCAACAAACAGAGCCTGCTCCTCCACCAACAGAACAAGAAGCACCAGAAGGTGGTGCACCAGCTCCAGCTGATCCTCCACCAGCAGAGCAAGCACCACCACCAGCCGAAGCAGCGCCACCAGCCGAAGCGGCCCCACCAGCAGAGCCACCAAAAGAGTCACCACCACCAGAAATTCCAACACCAGAGGCAGCACCTGTGGCTGCAGAAGCCAACCCAGGCCACCAAATGCACCACCCTCCAAGAGATGTTGGAGAAGTTCATACCATATACCATCATCCACCTGATTATGGATACAGATAT